GCAGTTGTGGCCCTTCTTTAGTGTTTTTGTTGCCTGTTGGGAGGCGTTTGCAAGAGTAGCTGAGTGATAGGCGAGTTTGGCGGACAGTTTGTTGGCAAACTGGTTTACTACTCTGCCTTTCTCGGTGTAGTCTCTAAAGACGTCTAGTAACTCTAGGAGCTTATCTTGGGCCACATGAGATTCAGCCATAGTTGACGCTTGGAGAATCAGGTCTCTCGCCCAGTAGATGGCCTGCTCCGAGTTCTTGGCAGTTGGTTTTGGGGTAGAGGAGTTCTGGAAGGGGTTTCTGCCTCTATAGGCAGCCTCTGGCGAGAAGTTGGCTTGGCGCTTTTTTGGTGGTAGGATTGGGATTTCAAAGATGCTCTCTTGGCTGGCTGGTTGCTGGGTAGGAGTGGCTGGGTAGGGGTCCTCTCTGTCCATTTCCCTGTCGATCTGAGCCTCTGGGCCTAGGCTCTCTTGCCTCTGTTCTAGCACTTGGGCTTCGATAGTATCGCTTTCTGGTGGCATTCTGTTGCTGGGGTTCTCTTATTACTAAGCAGAGTGGTCTGTGTGTTTTTGTTTTGAGTGTAAGACGTGTCTCAACTATCTGCTCTTATAGCTTATAGCTCCACAGCGCGCACGCTGCACGTCTTAAAACTTGCTATAATTAGTTTCTTGTAAGGGATTTGTATATATTTAACGAAAATTACACCTATTCTAGAAAACTTGACGTTGGTGTGTGATGTCTCTGTACCCTATATACACCGCGTAACTGCATTCCCCGTCTATCAAAGCGCTTAAGATATGCAGCAAAACTGCGATGGCTTCGCACCGAGAAAAAGAATAACCCCTGGGAAGAGCAAACGATTCATAAACCAAGACTCATCGGTATTAGGTAGGAGCCTAATGTGGAGAAGAAGCCAGCTGTGCACTAGTCACATAGATGAAATCTGATGTAAGAAAGAGCATTCACAAAATAACGAACGCTGCAGCAAATGAACAACCAAATCTTGCATGCCGAGCAAATAATAACCTGGAACCATTCCACCTCTCCAGTCTCCGCCACGCTTACTTTCCAGCCCCCCCTTCCCCATTTCCAAGCAAAAGAAAAACCGCTACGCGCGCCAAACGCGCGTGCTTCCAGCTTACTAGAATGCAGTCTGAAACAACGCTTCTTGGCGTCAGCGCCAGGGGAGTAAGAGTAATCCAGATACACACATAGATACCTATGTGACATAGCTTCAGGCGCACCATCGCTCAGGATATCCACCACCCACAGACAAGCCAAGCTCTTGGTCTGCTTATCACCGCCCCCACCGGCTTCAGCTTGCGCTCATGCTCAGCATACACATACACGTATTTATACCCCGCAGTCAGTCTGCGTGTTGGCATCTAGATACATAGCAGTGTTCTAATACACACACAAACACACACACACACGCCATGGCACCCATCCCGATAATCATATGTGGCAAAACGACTGGCGTTGCAAAAGCAGTTTGCGAGGCAATGAAGCCGGATTACGATGGTATGTAGTTAGTTCTATTACCAGCTCCGTACCAGATATCAGTCACCAGAAACATGCGGATGGTACGTAGCAAGCAAGAACTGATTTCAACCTCTCGGGTGTGGCGACAGTAATCCACGTCATGCTTTCAGTTGAAGAGGCGAAATCAAATATCCCGCTGGTCCTCTCTGGTGCCGCGCCTCCACTCAGTAACACCTCGAACCCCGGGTCGCAGCACTATGGCGAGCGACCCGCAGCCATTGTGTTTGGCGGTGGCTTCGACGACGCCACGATCGCCGGGATCCAGGATGCATGTGGAGCACAGGGCGAAAAAGTGCCGTGGTTCCAAACCGATACTACGCGCCAGGCCGAAATGCCAGATCTAAGTGATATCGAGGGGTATGGGAAGGCGACGGCAGCGAGGCTGAAGAAGCGGTTGGAGGAGTTGAAGGTAGGGCGGGAAGGTGCGGTGGAACAGGGCATGTATCTCTTTTGATATTTGGTATTTGTAGGATTGAGAAAAAAGAAAAAAGGAAAAGGATATCTCATTTGCTAATTCTCGTGCGTTTCATAATTATAAAATCTCTGCGTTCTATCAACTCTCCAAATCATATAACAGACAACCACCAGTGCGGAAATTGTAGACGAAAGCCTTGCCTACGGGTTCTTCTCCATTTGCATTAGCCTTTCCCTCTAGCCACTTTGTTCGATATCCCAATAGCAGATCATGCAAGTCTTGCAGATACTTTCGTTCCGCCAGCGGCATCTTTTGGATAAAATGCCGCCACGATTCTGCATCACTGAGTCTAGTCTCCTTGATGAGGTTCATGACCTCGTCCTTGGATTCGATGGCGGCAATTGGCGCAGACTGGAATGCAGAGAGAAGATCTGCTGAGTGGGATTGTGCAGCTTCAACAATGGACCACTTGCTGGACTTCTTGGAACGGTGTTGGGCGATGAGGACATCGACATTGGCTTTTGAAGCGTTGGTCTTTTGGCTGAGAGTTGGGGGTGGGGCTTTGGTGAGACGAGCCGCCATGCCTTCGCGTTCTTCTCGATCTCGAAATTCGTTGCGTAGGTAATTAAGGAGATCGGCAGTGCGCATATCCGTGTCTTCTTTTTTGGCAGTGGATTTAACTTTAAGCTCGGGTTTATCCGGCGCAACACCATGCTTGATAACAATGATCCAACTGTGTCTGTCATCTCGGTAGTGACGGAGTATATCCTCTATGGAATGCGCGTCAATTGCGAGCTCGGCGGTATAACCATGAGATATTAGGTCTGCCACCATTTTGATGCCTGTGGTTCGGAGGACACTAGGGTCGAAACTGGCAACTAGACAATCGCAACGTCGAGGCATCCACGAGACGATCGGAGTGTGTTCCTCGGTTTGTTTCTTCGAAAACGTCTTTTCTGGCTTCTTGATGTACCGAGCCATCGAATTGACCAACCTATCCCATCCTAGGTTAACTCCAACCGCATGGTGTGTAGCTACTGGATGTGCATGACTGGAGCCAGTTGGTCGGTATTCTTCAATCAACTTGTCGTATCTTCCTCCCGCCGCAAGAACTTCTCGCTGCTTCGTGTCGAATAGACACTGGAAGAGGATACCGCCAGAATAGAAATTTTCGTTGAAGCTGCTCAAGACACTGATGTAGACCTTGCGCTTGACGTTCCATAGTTTCATGTAATTCATGACTGACGAGAGATGGCGGAATATCTCGTGCGTTCGCTCAAGATACTTTGTGCCTTCAAAGAGTCGCCGCAGCTTCGCAAAAGCCTTTTCTGGTGTGTCGCGCCAATCAAACCTTGCTAGGTCATCCAGCGATGTTGATGCGATGCCAATGTCGGAAGAACGTAACTCGTTGCGAATGGAGTGCCAGTTGCTCTTGAGAATGTTGAGTTTGCTGAGGACGGCTTTCACCGCCGTGCGCTTTGGTGCGGGAATCCTGCAGAATTCCATGATGATTTCTAGAAGATCAGAATGGTTGAGGTGAAAGCACATTGGTGTAGATCGGAACGAAGGAAACTCGTCGATAATCTCATCGACGACCTTGAGTACCTCGGATTCCTTGAGAGCTAGATCAATGGCATCATACGAAACGATGTCAAAGTCTGCCTCACCGTTACTACGCGGAGTACTTCCAATGTAGTTCTCTCGGTAAACTTGACCGATCGTAAATGATTTCTCGAGGAAAGCTCCACCTCGACCGATACTACGCGCATACGGCAATGTAAGGTCGTAAGGAAGTTGAACGAGGGTCCCAGAAGGATCGAAGAGTTTCACAACGCTACTGTTTGCATAGTGATCAGACCACGGAAGCAATACTTGGCGCTGGATCTCCACGGCACCATGGCTACGGAATATCATGGCTAATCTGTCCCTGACGAGGTTCTGTAGAAGCACATCGTTGACTTTGATCGTCTGATTCTCGTCACTGAGGTCCCAAGCATAGTCCTTTGCTTGCGTGTCAGGCTTCTGCGAGAAGAGGGCTGCCATCATCTTTGCATAATGAGGGGAGTTGCGATCAGAGAGGGCTTTGAGAGCCTCCTTAACAGCCTCATCCTCCATCTGAGCAGGGACCTTGCCACTCCTCAAGAGCTCGATACAGCTAGGCCTTTCCGACGGTCGGTGGCTGATGAGAGACTTGATAATGTTTCCATGGAGCGCCTTCTCGGAGGTTTCGAATTCTGGTGGAAGATCATGTTTCCGCTCGCGTAATGACCGGATCACCTTGTCCCTCTCCATGGCAGTCCTTAGAGGGAAGCACATCTCAAAAAAGATGATTCCCATGGAATACATGTCCACTTTGTTGTTGTAGTCGCCAGTGACACTCGAACTTAGCTCCGGAGCGACATAAAGCGTTGTGCCAACGCTCCTGGTCATGTCACCGGTATTCTGGTGGTCTCCAGAAGATTTTGTATCAGGTCTTTGATATTGCCCGCTTGTTGCTAGTCCAAAGTCGCCAATTTTAGGAATTTTGGCCAAGTCAATGAAAACATTGTCTGGCTTTAGATCTCGGTGAATGATACCATGTCCATGGATGTGGGCGAGACCCTCAAGAATCTGCCGGAACAGTCTCCAGTACTCTTCTGGGTCATCGTACAACCCTCCACGGATCAAGTCACGAAGTGTCTGCTTCTCACAGAATTCCATCTGGATGTATAAGATCGACCTTGACTTCGCCGGGTAGGAGTCGGACATGGCACGCTTCTTGATTGATGGTGAGATACGGCCAACGCTGGCGGAACGCGATTCGTTTTCTGTAATGCGTCAGGCCAGATTGGTCACAGAAAATCAACAACGCCCTACTAACCTGAGTCTGATCCGAAGATGACGGCACCAACGTCCTCTTCCGAATCTGTGTCTGATCCAAATTCAATCTTGGGATATCCGCTGGAGCTGATAAAATCCAGCCCACCAGTGCTCTTGCCATAGCCGCCACCGTCAGTTGTAGTACCCGGGGAAACGTCTGAGCCCCAACCGGAGTCATCACTATCTGATGATTCAGACTCGTCATCGTCATCATCATCGATATCGTGGTCCGCTTCAGATTCTGGCCATGCCGTGTAATAACGCACTACACAGCTGTGGTTGAGCCGTGATAGGAGCATGACCTCGGAGAGAACCTCACTCAATGCTGCAGCAGACTTCTGCTTAATCTTTTTGATTGCGTAAAGCCGACCATCGACTTTGTTGCGTGCTTTTACAACCTCACCATATCCGCCCTTTCCCAGCCGGCCTTGTTCGACCCAATCGTTCGCATATCGCGAATATGTCTGGACCATGCCAGATGAAGACTCGCGCCTTAGTCTGTACCGGCCCAATGAGGTTGAGGAATTCCTAGATCGCACGGGCGTAATAGGTCGTTCATAGACATCAACGTCGTCGCGCAGAAATTCAGACGGGATAATGTCAAAAGCGGTGTGTCGTTTCTTAGGATCCGGCTTGAAAAATTTGCGTAGGACCTCCTGCAACGGCTCTGAGCAGCCAACAATATCCGATAATTCTTTTGGCGAGTTGTATTTCTCAGGTGCATCGAGGCCAAACAGCATCTGGAGGAAAACGACCCCCAAGTCCCATATGTCTGTTTTGCGGGTGTGCAGCAAACCCTGGGGTAGCTCAGGGGCGATCCAATAAAACGAGCGTGAGTATTTGATTGGATGACCACCTCTGCAGAAGCTTTGCAGACGATATAAGGAGTCTTGGAAGCTAGCGTCGGCCAGGTGCACTGTGATGCCGCTGCTCGAAGATCTCTTGAGCAGGATATTATGGGGGTGAAGGCGCTTGTGCACCATACCGTTGCGATGGTAGAAGTCCAGTGCTTCTAGGAGCTCAATGGTCCAGGAACGAACTCTGGCAACTGGAAGCGGCCCGTCGTCGGCAAGCTTCTCGCCCAATGAACCTCTGTCGGCGTGCTCCATCAAAATGCTAATCTCCCATCCAGAATCGGGCAAGTGCTCCATTTTGAAGTCCAGTACCGCCATTATAGCAGATTGTCGTAACCGTTTGACTTCCTCCATTTCTTCTTCAAACTCCATGATGGCTTTCTTCAATTCCGGATCGGCAGCCGCGTCTCCGCTAGACACACGTACACGCTTCAATACCAACGTGAGTCCTATCGGCGCCCCCATTGGCTTGACTAAGAGTTCTTCGGTGAGAGGCCCAGAACGGAAGGGAAGCGGGTTCTCGACTGCACTGCACTGTATGGTAGTTTCCTCGTGCTGAAACGAGACGGTCCTGTCAAATGAGATATAGTTGGCACTATCCCCACTAGGAAAATCCGGGGGTGGGGTCATGACTGACGCGCGGTTCTTCTTGCGCTTCGCCAGCATGTCTTTTCTGCGCATCTCATCACCAACCATTTGCTGCAAGAGACGGTCCTCCTCGGCCTTTTCTTCATCTCGTTTTCGTTGCATCTCGGCTTCTTGCTGGCGCAACTGCTCGGCTGCGGCCGCTTCTTGCATGGCTCGTTCAGCGTCTAGATTTTCGTAGGTGCCATCAGTTTCGCGCACTGCAATCTCGTCCTCGAGTATTTCTTGAATGGTGGTCGCTATGTCGTACATCATAACTTCACCGACTAGCTCTTGAGGTCGGTTTTTGAGCAGGGCATAGAGCTTATCCCAGGTGGTTTTCCTCAAGCTGCTGCAATCCTCGAGTGTCAGCGTAGGCAGCGACTTGGGGTAAGTAGCTGTGAGTTTTGCGCAAAGCGTGACAAAGATGTTCTCGTCAGAGAACGATGTGAGTTTCAACCGCAACACGCGGTCAGTAGTTTTCTGCGCTCACATTAGAGGACGGAGCAAACCCAGAAATCGCGCACGTACACTCCATGCACCCTTGGCTTCTGATTCTACGTAGTCGTCCATGAAGACGGCCTTCAGGACTTCGCGTTCGTCTTCCTGGGCCTTTTCGTAGGTTTCAGAGGGCTGCGAGCCAAGCGGCAGCCGCGGTTCTTCCACAGCGCTTGTCGGGCCCATTTCGTCGGCGTCTCTGGGGGTCGAAGCATTTTGCGTTTGTTTCTTGGTCTTTGGTGTTTGATGCGGTGCCATAGTGGGCTACTGGTGGATGTTGGATGGGCCGTCATATACAAGGTATTGACGGAGAGTCTAGCAGCCGTAGCCGCTGCCCTTCACACTGCAGACATTTCGGGTGGTAAATAGAGCAGTGAAGAAGGGATGGGGTATGACGGAATGTTGAAAGTTTGCGGCCAACGCATGCCTGGTTGTGAAGTAGCGGTCGGTGGGGGCGATATGTTGGCGAGCCCCGCCATGCTGGAACCGTTTCCGCGCCATCCCTGCACGTCCGACTTGGAGCCGCCGGACGCGACTTCCTCATGCCTCGAGCACGACAGCGCACACAACAAGCCCGCATCGCCCCTTCCGTCTGGCTGAGAATGCGCCAGGAGGCTGCATTGTCTCTTTGAATCTCCCACGCCCATTTTTCCATGCACCCCGACTTGCCACAGAACAGCGTCCCCCTTTGACCAGTAGCCGGAGCAGCCCTCGTTTTCAACAAGTAAACAAGCCGCCAAACAAAGCCTGTGTTGGGGCACACACGTCGCCCTGCCAGCACCACGACTACTGCATCCTCCCCACCTCTCCTGTAACACACCACTGCGGCACCACGCTCGGTGAAAAGACGTCACCATGTTTTCGTGGATTACGGGCCCACGCATTACCAATGTGATAGAGGACCTGCAGCCTGGTTCGTCGCATTGTTGTGCGCCCCTGCTGAGCTTCGCTAACGATGCAAGAAAACAACTACGAGTCCACCTTCATTGAGCCGCCAGAAACACCGGCCCACCAGTTCGCCGTCAAAGCCTTCAAGCATGCCATATTCGGGACGCCTGCGCCTCAGGAGGCAGACGATGCAGCAAAGAAAGGCGAAAGGAAGGCAAAGGTAAATGCAGCAAACGCAAAGGTCTTCGACATGCCCGCGCCCAGGGAGACTGGCCCGTCCATGTCCCCGTCAAAACAGCCAGGCGGCATCCTCATGACGCCAGGCACCGCCAGCAAGGGAAGGAAGCAGGTGTCGTTTGGCTCGCAGGTCGTGGACAACGAGGGCAAGCGCGGCAACATTGGCAGGAGCGGGATTCCCAACGACTGCCCGGGCAAGTTTCCCAGCCCCTGGACTCCCGGCACGCAATTGAAACTCGATCCTGACAGCGAACAACGGCCGCGCACTCGCCTCACCGCAGCCCTGCTAGACGCACGCACGACCACGCAGCCGAAATTGGGGCAAAAGCCCAAGGCGAGGGACGATAGCGACATTACAATAGATTTGGGGGCTCCACGATCCGAGTCGGGCAAATACTGGAAGGAGCAGTACGAGAGCTATGCGGAAAAGAGCGAAAAGGAGATGAAAAAGGTCATTGCCAAGCAGCAACTGGCCAAGAAGTTTGCCATGAAGAAAGACGGCGAGGTGACGGAACTAGTGACCAAACTGGAACAAGAGCGCAAGAGGTATAGGCAACGTGAAATGGACCTGGAGCAGCAGAACAAGGACTTGCAGGAGCGTCTTCGTCAGGCTATGGCCGAGAACATGTCCTCCAGCATCGAGATTGCAACTCTCAAGGCACGGCTAGCGGTCCTGGAGGGCTCAGCTGCCGTGCCTGCATCCGAAATCCAACAGAACAAAGCTCCATTCGAAATATATGAGGATGCTGCTAAAGACAACTCACGGCCTCCTTTGCGCGGGCTGGACTTGGACCATGAAGCCTCGTTTGCTCCGTCCAACAGCATGGCTTCCTCTACCAAGGAGAATACCTCACCCAGGTCTCATCGTCAACGCCGTGGTACTATTCCTGACACGCTGCATCGGCCAACCCCTCCTTCTAGACTTGGTATAGCAGAGGGAGAAGCCTCCATCATTCTAGGAAAGTCGCCCCGCGGACATCAGCGCCCCTTTGAAGCTACTCTGGACAAGGCGCTTGGAACTACTGAGCAAGAGAAACCCAAGTCGCCTTTGAAGATTCATAGATCTGAGCCCTTGAAGGAGAACTATACCCCCAAATTGCCGGCTGCGATTCCAACTTCCAGTCCACTGCCGGTGCCATCGCCTGGTATTGATCCGTGGGCAGAATTGAATGACAACAGCTCCATAGCGCAAATGGACAAGATGGCAATGCCTGTATCGGCGGGCCAGCCATACACAAGACCCGAGTGGAACCCACCAAAGAAAAACCGACTGTCTAAACCTGTCCCAAATTCCAGGAAAACAGAAAACGCCCACTCTCAAGACAAGACAACAGTCTCAGAAAAACAAGCGGAATCCCACAGGCGAAGAGACCGGGGGACTGAAAAGGCCGTCCATGTCTCAGAACTCGAAGCAACCTCTGTGGCGCCAGAAAAGGAAGCCAAGCACAACTACGAAGCAACGAAGAAGAGTGGAATTGCTAGTCGCCAACCTACCGACACTGCAAAGGCCACGACTCGTGCAGAAGGAACTAGCCAGGCCAGGCACGACCGAAGTCAGAAGCCGGGTGCTGAACGTGACCCGGACCCAAGGAAAAGGCTGGCGGAGAGAAAGAGAATGAGACAGAAGGCTGCCATGAATGGTGGCTCATAATTTGGTTACGGTGTTGGCGTTGGTGGCGAGCGTCTTACTGGACTTTCACTGTCTTGCTGCTTTTGTTATGGTCTTTGGGCCGCCTTTATCTCCTGCATATTTCATTTGGGGTTACACGATACCATTCTATGCTTTCTCAGTCACAGAATCCATCTGATATTCTTCACATTATCTCATGCATCTATCGTGATACGCTCGTGAGCGTGGAAATGGGGTATCGTCCCAAAACAAACGCCTCAAAATGCCCAACGACACCGCCCTATGCTACGGCAACACCAGCATCTATTTCTTCCCTGCAGCAATATCCTCCAATGCCTTGAAGACCGGCACAGCACTCTTCTCCAACTGATCCCTCTGAAACGCCGTCATCTTGCCCAGCACGTACTTGCTCACAACATTCGGATCCCGACTCTCTGGCCTACCAATCCCCACACCCACTCGCCACCACTTGACGCCGCCCAGCTGCTGCTGACAGCTCTTAATCCCATTATGCCCCTTTGCGCTCGAAGCCCCATCTCTAACCGTGACCTTGCCCAACGCCGACTCCAGCTCATCATGCACAACCACCAGTCTCCCCTGCAAACCGCTCTCCCCAGTCGCGCGCCGTATCTCCCTCAGCCACTCATTATACGCGCGCTTGACCCCACTCCCACTCACATTCATCAGGCTCGCCGACTGCCAAAACGTCCAGTCTTCGTAGACATCGCGCTCTGTTTCGACGCGGCGGAAGCCCGTGAGGCCGAAGGCGAGGTGCGTGGGTGAGGGCCGCGACACGAGGCCCGAAAGCCCTTTTTGGAACGGAGTGTAGTTTTTCGCGTGCGATAGGTGCGAGGTTACTATGTGCCCGGCTGAGTGCAGTGTGTTGGCGTAGGTGGCACCCGGGTTGCCGATGGAGGCGACGAGGAGGGGGAAGGCGGTTTGGGCGGCGGGTTTCGCCATTAGAGAGGGTGGGAGGCTTGGAGGAGGGTGGCGGGGCTGCTGTTTTTGCTTTGGTGGATTGTTGGGGGTTTTGCGGGGTGATGGGGTGGGGGATTCAGCGTCGGTATCCGTGGGTGTTGGTATTGCAGAGTCGTGTCGTTGCTTCTTTTCCTTGCGCTTTTCCTTGCGACTTTGAGACGGTGGTTGTGAGGAGGTAACTTGTTCGTCCGATGTCTGATTCTGCGAAATGTCGAGACTGGTAAAGGCTGCAGTGAGGTCGATTTCCCGTTGCCGTTTCTTCTGCTCGTGCTTTTCTCTGCAGAGTTGTTTGCGGGTCTTTGGTTCGGCGAATTCGATGCAATTGCTGCTGTCGCTGTCGCTGTCTTCTGGGGTTGGGGGTTGGGGATTTTTGGCTTCGGCATGCAGATCAGTGGCAGGGATTAGCAGCATCGCTGTAGGGCTGACCACGTGCACACGTGTGCTCGCGTCCGACATGTCGCCAGAGGAAAGTTTGAGGGCGCGATATTGTGTAAATTAGAAAGCAGGGTCCTAATTATATCGCAACCATAGTATTTTCAAACATCCCTTGATTGGTCATTGGCACGGCGAAGACCGTCACACAGCCACATGTAAGAGTCATTGTGGCAGTGGGTTGGTAAGGGCGCAACCGCCCTTTTGCAGCCACACTCTTGCATGACATCATTCATGACCTGCGGAACCCTCTTCACACCCTTCGTATTCGTGTTCGTACTTGTGCTTGTGGCGATTAACTTTGGACGAGAATCGGACGGAACAGATCTGGGATCGCGGAATCCCTTGGCGCACATCATCGTTCAGGCACCAGGGTCCACGACGCTCATCTTACTTCCACCCACCCTCATTCGCCACTCGTGGGTGTGTCAGCCCTCTTTTGGGTCGCCTTACAGAGAACTACCTCCAAACACTCGCACATTGACAACCCCGTCTCAGCCGCTCGCAGTTAATCAGCATGTCTGAACGCCAGGCAACGCCACCGCGAGCGACTCACTCAGCGGGTAAGCTTCCACCGAATCCTCCTACTCCCGAGCAAATCAGGCGCATGGAAGAGGCCCGTCTGAAAGCAAAGGCTGCGGCGCAACAAGCGCAGGCATCCCGACCGTCTCCGGCGCCTGTAGCAGGCGAGAAGCGCGCGTACTCCGCCATTACTGCCTCTCAGACCCCAGCAACACTCCGAAATGCTGCTGCGGCGTCACCCCCGAAACGCGACCAGAATGGCTTCATACAGCCGCCAGCCAACGACTACATTCAACCTGCGAAGAAATACGCTAGGTCAGACTTTATCGAATATGACTTTAGTAAGATGACGGATACAAAGGGTGGTTTCTTGAGCACAGAAGATGATCCGCACAACAAGGCCATGAGGAAAGGCCAGGCCAAGGAAGAACAGAAGCCCGAGGGCATGACAATGCCAGAGTGGGAGAAGGAGCGCATACGACGAAAGCTGCGCGCAAACAGAGCCGGACCATACGAGCCTGGCATCTCCATTCTGAACACTGTTGATGGCAAAGAAGAGGAGGACGAGGAGGCTGCACTACTAGAAGCTGCCGAGAATGCAGAAATTGAGAGCGGCACTTTCAAAGGCAGATACGGTGACGGCAAGCGCGATGTCAAAGGCAAATGTCGCGAGTGCAACAGTCTCGAAATCGACTGGAAATGGCAGGACATCTTCAACGTTGGCGTCTGCAACATTTGCAAAGAAAAGTACCCTGACAAGTACTCTCTCCTCACCAAAACTGAAGCGCGAGACGACTACCTCCTCACCGACCCAGAACTAAAAGACGAAGAACTCCTCCCCCATCTCGAGCGTCCAAACCCCCACAAGCAATTCTTCCACCCCATGCAGCTCTTCCTCCGCCTCCAAGTCGAAGCTTACGCCTTCAGCCCCGCAAAATGGGGCTCCCCCGAGGCCCTAGACGAAGAATACGCAAAGCGCCAAGTCATCAGCAAAGAGCGCAAGCAAAAGAAATTCAAAAACAAACTAGAAGACCTCAAGAAGCGGACCAGAGTCGAGGCGTACAAGCGCGCCAGACTCGCCGGTGACGCCGACGCCCAGTTTGGACAGAAGATCAAGGGCAGATACGATAGACATGAGCACGAGTGGGGCAGGAGCGTCCTCGATCCCGAGACGGGCATGACGAGGAAGCGCTGCGAGGAGTGCGGCATGGAGGTTGAAGAGCTGGAATTCTAGCTCGCTGCAACATGTATTTCTCAGATTGTGATACCCTCTTGTAACTGACATGTTGAACCGCATCGTTTACTCTTTTACCTCTATTTCTATAAACAGGCTTCATCTAATAGCACGTAATAAACTCCCTCGTCTGACATGAGCCTGGACGTGCATACGAGCGATGCCCCGCCCAACCCCACTTTTCACTTGCCAGCTAGTGCCTACCACCCCTCATCTTCCTTTTTATTCTCGACACCATCTGCAGATATATTGCATCTAATTTCCCTTCTTTTCATCAAACAAATCAAGCTCGCAAGAGCAGCAAAGTGGTCAACAACCCGCGTTCCGATCATCTGAAGCACGGGTTTAGCTGACGCTTAGTCATCAGGAATGATGGATTCTAATTGGGCCGGTAACTCAGCGGTAGAGTGTAGGACTGCAGCTTTGCCACAAGCCGTCTTCCCGAAGTCACCGGTTCGATTCCGGTTCGGCCCTCTCCTTTTTTGTTTTTTTTGCACTTTCCACTGTCCTTATCTTCATCATACACGACGGTACTAGGCCAAGTGCCTGGTTCTTTTTTTTTCTGCATGCGTAGTTGTCCTTATCACTCTTCAACACCGCCTGCCCAAAGTTTACGGCTCGGTTTTCTCTCTCTTTTCTCTTTCCCGGTTTTCTTTTCGTTTTAGCATCCTCGTTCCGTATTTTTTTCTCTTCAACTTCTTATTCTCGCACAACTCCTATCGCAGAATACATACTATGTAGCCACAGAGTCTAGACAATTACATCTTTTCTCTCTGCAATAACCCTCCGTCTTTGCATGTATCTAACCCATTATTTTTTTTCATTCTTACGAAGATAGACTGACTAGCCAACGTAATTTCAACGTACTTACTTACTTGCTTACGTGGTAGCTTTTCACCGTGTAACAGACTGCGCACTCGGGTCTTGATAATTCTACTTTTGATGAGATTTTTTTTCATCGCGAATAAAGTTAAATTTCACACATATCTAGCACATGCGGAGATGTCCACAAACACCCACCACCCGTCAGGTCATAGAGGAACTCTGCTCATTATACAATGCAATTTCATTTTGGATACCAACATCGATTATGTACACTTTAGAGAGAAAAGTGAGCGCGAGCGAGGCATGCACCTCTACGGGGGCCTCGGCGCCCACGCGTATGCATGTTGAATCAAACAAAAACAATAACAGAAAAAAAATGCGAGATGGGTTGCTTTTATAAAAGCTGTCTCTTCATCGCTTTCTTCCGCCTTTTTTCCCCGAAACTCCTTCTAAATACAAGGCCATCCCCCCGCGTCTTTGGTTTTTTTTGGTCTTCTATAGTGGATAGAAGAGTGGTTGTTAGTTGAGAGCCGTGTTCTTCTTGGCTTCGTATGCCGTCTTGGCTGTACTTGTCAAAGTGTCTAGCTCGCCGCTTGTTTCACACATGGATCGGAAGGAGCCGCCGTCCTTGCGGACTAGGTCATATGGGTGGCCGTACTCAATGACCTCACCCTTATCGAGAACGAGAACCTTGTCGTAATCAATGATGGTCTGAAGACGATGCGCTATTGTGATGGTCGTGTTCTTAATCTTGCGAATGGTTTCTTGGATCTTGGCGTCGGTGGCATAGTCGATAGAGGCAGTGGCTTCATCCATGAGCAGAACCTTGGGCACCTTGAGTAGCGCTCGCGCGAGACATAGAAGCTGTCGTTGACCTTGCGACAAGTTGGAACCAGACTCTGACACTGGAGAGTTGAGATCCTTGAACGGGTTCTTGTTGTCGGTGTCCATCGCAGATTGCGCAGTCGCATGTCCATCAGGCATCACTACTATTGTATCATCCTGTGATGCCCAGTCGCGGTTCGCCGAGGCAGAATCTGCAGCACCAGGCTGGGTAGATTCTCCAGTAGGTGTGACAGTGCCCGAGGTAGGTCGTGAAAGGCTGGAGATCAAGTTGACCTCGCGCAGGGCCGTGTAAATCTCTTCATCGGTAAAGATTGAGAAAGGATCGAGGTTGCTTCGGATTGTGCCTGTAAACAGTGTCGGATCTGATCTTGTTAGTGGTTGTACTGATGCGGCGGAAGAACAGCTTACCTTGCGGTACCATGACGACATTCTCGCGCAAATCATGAAGACCAATCAAACCAATGTCAATGTCATCGATGAGAATCTTTCCCTGTTCGGCCTCGAGCGCTCGGAACAACGCAAGTGCCATGGAACTCTTTCCAGCACCAGTCCTGCCCACGACACCGACCTTCTCTCCCGGTAGAATCTTAAACGTCAGGTTCTTCAACACAAGATCAAAGTCAGACCTGTATCTTGTGCTGTAATTGATAAACTCGACAGAACCCTTGCTTGGCCAATTGGAAGGCGGACGGTTGGCTGGGATGACAGAAGGAGCTTCCTGGTCCACGTCGAGGTATTCTTTGACACGCTCGACAGAGTTCATGTTCTGCTCATTTGACGAGTACAGTCGTACAAACCACAAGACATTCTCGGTAAACGTAACAGCATAGGTAAGTGCCAGGCCAGCGGCTCCTGCATCAATGCGCCCGACGCTGACGACAACAAAAGCCCCAGAGAAGAAAGCGACCATGGCACCAACGACATCGATTCGGAAAGCGAGCCATCTGTTAGCAGCCCAGAGGTAGATAAAGGGACGGTGTTGAGTGTTGATCTTGGTCAAGTTCTCGCGGATGAAGCGCCGCTCGTCGCCGTAGGCTCGAATGGTCGTCATGCCAGATAAGGTTTCTCCAAACTGCTGATAAAGGGGGCTTCGGTATACAGAATCCAATCGCTTCAGGTCGCGTGAGGAGCTAATGTAGAAGCGACCAATAAGGAAGTAGAGGACGGAGATCAAAGAGGCTGCGACCAGAAATCCAGGCGTGATGACCGAGATGAGTATGACGATTGTAATGATGGAAGCAAAGCAGTGGACAACACCGATAGCATCTGGCGCAACCTCTTGGTCGATAGCCTCAATATCTTTTGAAAACCTGTTCATCAGCTGGCCAAGTGGCGTTTGATCGAAAAAACGGAACTTGGCATGCGTGACCTTTTGGATTAGACGCTCGTGCAGACGTCGTGATGCTGCCAGGGAACCACCAAAAAGGAAGCCTTCGCGTAGGAATGTGATCAACATAAAGATGAGACCCAGGATAGCATAGACCCCAAGGAAGTAAAGAGAGTCGACCTCGGGACTAGAAGACCCAAAACTGGTCTGCATCGTGGTGTACGAGTACGACGGCTGTTCTGGCCGTGTGAAGAACGGCATGTTCCAGCTGCAAGTGCCACTTTTCATACAGGTTCCTACACCACTCAGCGTCGGAGCGTGGGTGACAGGTGAGCGATGGTGGCTGCCCAGGACCGCATAGCCCTTTTCTGCATAGGCATTTGCCCAAGTGCGAATCCACAAGTTGGTAGAGACGGAGGAAATCTGCGCTGCAACAAAAGCAATGACAGCGCCAACCCAGTAGTACCACGGGCCCATAGCTCGGAGATACATGAGTATGATACTGAGCTTGACGCCGCCTTCAGCTTTCTTCTCATCCATGCTGTTGCTGGCTGGCGCCTTCTTGGTGTCTGCCTTGCCGTTAATAATGGTATTGGCGTCTCCATTGGGCTCTTGCTCTACATCCGAAGGTGCGTGAGAAGGAGGTTTCGATGCACCACGTGAGGCAGGCTGTGATTTAGAGAGGTCCTCGTTGAGCTTGCCAGAATTGATCACTTCATCTGCAGTGCCCTGAGCAACAATGCGTCCGTTATCGAGTACGAGTGCAAATTCAGCATGTGGCAGGCAAAGACTAACATTGTGCGTGACGAGAATGCAAGTTCGGTTCGCCATGAGCCGGCCATGGAGTGCGTAGTGGAAGATCCACTTGGCTGTGTGAGCATCGACAGCGCTGAGGACGTCGTCGAGAAGAACATGGCGAGCTTTGCTGTACATTGCGCGAGCGAGCGAGATGCGTTGTTTTTGGCCTCCAGAAAGAGTCACACCTTTTTCGCCGACCAGCGTTTCATCGCCAGCGTCGAGAATTTCGAGATCCCGCTTCAGACAGCAAATATCAATGACTTCGTCGTAGCGTTTCTGGTCCCACTTGCTTGCAAATACAATGTTTTCCTTGACAGTACCATTCACTAGCCAGGCTTGTTGGGCGCAATATGCTACGCTTTCGGTGAGGCCAGTTTCCGGGTCGGGGGTTAGATCTTCTCGGCTGACTCCTCCAGGCAGGTACACTTCACCCTTTAGCTTGGTCATCTCACCGAGCAAGCCCATGAGCAGCGACGTCTTTCCAGATCCTGTAGGTCCAATGACAACATTCAGCTTGCCGACGCGGAAGTTGACGTTGAGGTCCATGAGCTTAAAGGCATCTACCGCGGCTTGGTCTGCCATATCAGTGCCACCCCAACTGAAAGTACCGTTTTCGAATCCAATAAAGGGCTGGCCATCTTCATCCTTCTTCTGGGTAATAAGCTGCGAATACTTGTCTGTCTCGTGTTCCATCAGATATTCCTCAATACGGTCAACCGATACCTTTGATTCTTGGACGTGCGCAACCATATCCGCGAGTTGGTCCAGCGGAATCCTTAGAATTTGGAACAACGAGAGAGCAGTGAAAGCGATTGACGGGATCAAAGCCTTGTGCTCGATGTTCGTGTAGACGAAGAAAGACAACAACGTAATCAATACAGGGGAGCCCGACCATATCGTGGCAGCGATCGACCAGAATATATAACGAGTACGCAGATGCTTCAGCTCAATGTGTCGCTTCTCATTCACTAGTCCGATGAAGCGCTGTTCCCAGGCAAAGAACTTGATGATTCGAATGTTGGTGAGAACCTCATTGGTGGTGTGGATTCGTGCGTCGGTGGCGGCGAGAATGAGTTTCTGAATCTTGGAGAACTGCCTAGCGACGTACATATTGACAGGGAGTAGGAAGATCATCAGGCCAATACCTGCAATTGAGCTGTATCCCAAAATGCGATAGAGCAAGAACACAGCTACAACAACTTGAACAGGTGTGTTTGCCCACAAGAAGTGCAAGTACGCGCATATTTCACTAACCTTGGTAGCATCCACGGCCATGAGGTTGATAATAGCACCGGTGGTGACCTGGGCATCTGAATCTGATGGCGCTTCATCCTCATCCTCTGATTTGTTGGAGGACTTGTTCTTCTTCTTCTTTCCGAAATTGAATATCCGCTTCAATCCTTTGGGCTGCTCGTCGTCCTCGTCGTCCTCGTTCTGTTGCTTTTTGGTCTTCTTTTCTTTTCCTAGAACCTTTTCGCTCGTAGCTGCGGCGCGACGCTTGAGGGCTTTTGCATAAATTTCTCCGATAATAACAGCGCGCAATCGAATGCAGATTTTCCGTCCAAGCCAGAGTGCCTGCCCATCGGCGAGCGCTGTCAAAGAGCCGGAAACGAAGAGCAGGATGACATAGAACCATGCGGCGTTTGCAGGAGTCAGATCCGGCCTCTCAACATACTCGAGGATAACCTTGAGAAGCAGCGTGGGCACGAAAGTGAGGAAACCAGACATGGCAGCCCAGGCAGCCTGCATGAGCAGGCCGCGCCTAAAGTGCTTCAGGAGGTGATAGGCCAGGCTCGAGGTTTTCTTCACCTGACGGTATCGTGCAATGACGGCTCCGGCCTTGTCTTTAGAAGGCAGATTCCAGACGTCTGCGAGCTCAAATGTCTTTTTGTATCCCGTCCACACAATAGGATCTACCCAGCTGAACGTGGCAAGCGATAAAAGGCTTGCAATGGGCTCGCGGGCAGGCGCAATATCGCCCTCGTATTCGAGGTCGACGGTTTTGTTGCCTTTTCTGGAGCATAGGGCAATAAGGAACAAAAGTGAGACGAGGGCAAAATTGCTAATCGCCAGCTTCTGATGCAGCGCGGATCGCGGGTGGATGATTGCCGACCGGAAGAGCAGGACGCCAAAGACCCATTGGCAGCCATAGATGAAAGCAGTGTGGTACCAGAGAGCGGGAAAGGAGAATCTGCTGGTGCTGGAAAAGAGTAGGCGCAACGAGGCCAGAACGGCGATGTAAGCCCAGACGGCGACACTGGCAATAGCCGCAATCTTTCCGTGCTTGCCCCATGCATGGGTGAGCAGGATGGCAATGTGGACGCCGAGCTGCGCCAGCACTGCGGCTTCCTCTAGTACGACGACGGTGAGCTGTCCGCGCGGCTTATCAATGGCAATGGTTGACATTGTGTTGACAGGGTGGAGAGCAAGGTCGTCGTTTTGCTCGGTGTCGTCTTCGGCATCGTCGCGATATTCGTCCGCGCCGTGGTAACGAGGGCTTCGGAAGGACCAAGGGTTGCCGGGGTCGTCGAGAGCACTGTATGCATGGTAGTATTTGGACGAGGTGGCAGCGGCATAGAGCTGGGCGATCAGGTAAAGAAGGGAGAGGGCGCATGCGCCGAGCGGTAGCAATGTCTTGAGATAGCTGCAGCGCGTCAGTGTGCCTGTTTTCCTGCGTGGTTGTGGTGGCGCGGGTGGTGGCGCATGGCCGAAGGACGTACTCGCGCTCAAAGCAGGTGGAGAAGTCATCTCTTCCCCAGAGCGGGCGGCTGCAGTGCGCAAACATGACGCCGGCTGCCGTGGTGCGAGGACTGTCGTGCCCCGTCGTGGTGTTGAATCAGCCCCAGCACTCGCACTCGTTATGTACGAGCGGTGAAGCGCATTGGAAGGTGCGCGACTGGGTAGATGTAGCGGCGCTTTTTGCACGTGACTGCGCTACGGCCGGTAGCGGTGGCAGGCAAGCGGTCGACGGGCGGGACGGCGGCGAGGGAGCGTACAGTACGGACGAGCGAAGGACGTCTGTAGGGATGGAGGCTGTTATTTTTTTCTCTGGTCGCCGCAGGCGCCTGTCAACACAAGCAGCATTGACGTTGACGCGCGGGCGCGAAAGGCGTTGTGGTGATGTAATCCGCGCGCTAGGCCCGATGCGGGCAGGCTCGGCGAAGGCACCGGGACTGCCGATGTCAACGGCCGGCAGTGTGTGTACTTGTATACGCCGGCCACAGCGGCGGCCAACCGGCAGCCGTCGCGCGTATCTGTTGCTGTCCACGCCAAACGCCCAGAGCCGTGTAATTCGCGGGGCGCGACGGCCGAACCCACCTCACCACCACCTCGCCACCACCACCACCACCACTACACCCACATGCACTCCCACTCTTACACCTACACTCACACCCACACCGGTCGGCTTGCACTTGGACTACACCCAATACTGACCTGCCGACCCCACACACGCATTTGTCCACGGCTCCTCTGTCCCCGGAGCCAGTGTCAGTGTCGCCCGACACCAGCCACAGTAGGACCACGCCATGGACGACCCCACATCTTGCCCCGATCCGCTGCCAGAGTGCAGCAGACGTGCGCCCTCTGGTGCGCCCTTCACGCCCTCAACATTTCTCGTGCTCGCCCTCTGCTCTTCCTCATGGTCGCTGCGTGGGCCGTCTCGCTCGTCATTGGAAACGTCCATCGTGACAACTGTTCCGCAGGGCGCCTTGGGAGCAAGTAAACCAGCTTTCCGCTGCGCGCAGGCGTCAAGGAGTGGCTGAACAAGTTACCTATGTCCACCTCTCGCAACCGTTGTGTAAAGAGTCAGGCCGTCCCTACACACGCCTGCAGCTACCATACAGCACACCGGCTACTCACAAAACAGCGGTCAGAATACAAAAAAGACAAGTTCGCGCTAGGCGCTGTCGCATGCCGATAACGACGTTGGGCAATAAATCTTGTCCCCGGAGAAATGGCCAAGAGACTTATATTGGACAAGCGAAGAATCAACATCCTCCACAGAATACAGACAACGCGACTAATAGCCGGCCCAAAGTTCACGCTTGCTCGCGCATGACCATATGCTGGCAGTGCTAATCTTCAACAGGGTTTCAGCACAGATCACCTCTCTCACATCATTGCCCAACTGTCTCGGAGTTGCCTCTGGACTCGACGCACCTCTGATCACTTCAAAACTGCACAGATCCGGTATAACCAACGCTCAAGGCCTCCATACTATATGTGCGCAGCGATGCCTAAGGCCCTTCATGTCCCAAGGATTGTGCCTGCCTAATTCTGGAACTGCCTAGTAATCCACGAGCCGCCTCATCAAAATTACCGAGAACAGGCCATATTTCCAGTATACTCGCTTTACTTGTCCAAGAAGGTCAGAACTAGACCGCAATGGTAATTGCCAAACCGATAACGGTTAGCCTTGAATAAACAGAGTTGCCAGGGAGACAACTGAATAGTACTAGTAGGAGGATGTGCTGACGACTGCTTATATGCTCTCCACTTCTCCGAGACGGCCGAAAGTTTATGTTCCCCTTCTCCAGCAGCCGTGTGCTCAACTGACTGCGAGGCTGACCGCTTTGTTCTGCGGGGCTGAAGTGGTCAGAGCATTTGCACCAGCTGCCTTCCACACATCAAAGCATCAGCAAAGTCCACCGAGTGTCGCTCCGCATTCTGATTTCAGAGATTTGCAATGCGGCAGAGTCGATCATTATATTAATCGATAGGCAGATACTGACCCGCCCAAGTCTCGGTCCGTCACACAATATGAGGCCTCAATTAAGGGTCGCCAGCTGCGCTATCCACACTGGCTAGGGCTGACAACGAACTACCGCCTTGTCATTTCATGAACCGTGCCTGGCGATCACCCTAGCAAGAAAATCATTCCGCGTCATGGTACACACGTGTGCTTCATCATTCCAGTGGCCGCATGCAATAAGCTGCACGTGTCGGCCAATCCATCGTATTATATCAGCAGCTGACATGCTGGTCGTTTCAAGTTTACATGAACAAAGGCTAAAATAGAAAAGCCATCCAGACACCGAGAACTGAGGTTGTCAGGCTGGTATCTTCCCGTTTATCCCGTTTGCCTGGCGAAACAACAATAGAGCAGCGCGGCTGGAGACTACGTAATGCGGGTATCTGAGCCTGTGTCAGGCTATTGACTCTACTCACATACCGGTGGAGATTATTTTATCCGCCCCTATGTAAGCTGACAGTTAAACTCCAAGCCATGGGATTTATATGGCGAACACTCTGTCATGCCATCCCGCAATTCTGCGCAATGGCGCCTTTGTAACCAGGAGTCCGGGCTGGTCCCTTCATTACGGGCCGAGTCAGTCACCCCCCCTGGAACTGCATCCCGCTACTGGTGTGAAATTGATCAATACGACCATTCCAATCTTGAAATCTCAGAACCGTTGGAGTACGGAGGTGACTGTCAAAAGTTCTTGCTGACAGGGACTTATGAAGTACTACCGAAAATGCTGCAGAAGGCAATCAATTAATCATACCAAGTCTGTAAATAAAAGCCCTTAATATAGTAGTTTAGAGATATTCTTAGCTACTAAAGGATAGATTTATAGTAGTACGCTGACTCTATCAAGTAGTATTATCTACCCGCTAAAATGATAACAGAAAGTGTGTTAAGAGAATTCGGTCCGATAGATCCGTGCCTTAGCATGAACTTTTGACAGTCACCTCCGTACACCTATGCCGGGCACTTGATCAAACTCCACTCGCCTATCTAGGACCGGCTTCATAACGGCGTGTCTTTGGTCTGAGCAGCCTGGTCGAGATGAATAAACATTGGCTTGAAAGTATATATAAGCTCATATGCTTTCAATTTTGGCTAAATTCACCACCGTCAGTCTTTACATATAGTCACACGTTCATTATTCAGTCGCTCTTTTATACAGTCACTCATTCATCGTGTTTCTAACGCAAAATGCGGCACTCACCGGTTCTCTCAGCAGCACTTGCCGCCTTCATCAGCCTCTCTCCTGCTTTGGCCCACCCCACGCAGTCTGACTGCGACACTCCTGACCCCAGCAAGGTCATTTTGCGCGATGTAGCAATCATTGGTGCCGGCTCCTCTGGCACCAACGCTGCCATCGGACTCAAAGATGCTGGCAAGTCCGTCATCGTCATTGAATCCCAGGAGCATGCAGGTGGCCACACCAATACCTATACCGACAAGGCTACTGGTCAGTCAGTAGACTACGGTGTAGTCGTCTTCCACAACACCACCACTGTAAACAACTACTTTGGCCGCTTCAAGATCCCATTGGCCCCGATATCACTCACTGGTCCTCAATCGGTGGACTTCGACTTCTCGACTGGTAATGCCGTCCAGGCCGCCCAATATAGCACTCAGGCCGTCCAGGCCGCCATCCAGAAGTATGCTGGGTTCTTGTCCAAGTACCCTAAGCTTGCTGGCGGTATGTTCCTGCCCAACCCTGTGCCTGAGGAGCTGGTCATGCCGTTTGGCCGATTGGTCAAGAAGCTCGGCCTTGAGGCCATGGTGCCCATTGTGAGCCAGTACAACGGCGGTTTTGGTGATGTGATGAGCGTTCCCGTTGTCGAGAATGCGCGTGTTATCGGCCTGGAGCTGCTCCAGGCAATTGCCAGCAACGGCCTGATTACGAGCGCGCGCCACAACAACAGTGCACTCTACGCAGCTGCTGAGGCCGAGCTCCGTGCTGCAAAGAGCATCCTCCTCTCCTCAACCGTGATCCAGTCTACGCGTTCCAAGAGCGGTGTTGATCTCGTTGTCAAGACCCCCAGTGGCATCAAGCACATCCGCGCCAAGAAGCTCCTCATTACCATTCCCCCTCGCCTATCGAACCTCCAAGCATTCAACCCCACCAAGGCCGAGACTGCCGTCTTCAGCAAGTGGCTCAACACTGGCTACTGGAACATGCTTGTTGAAAACACTGGTTTCCCACTGGGTCTGCAAGCAAACAACCGCGGCCAAGGCACTCCATACAACCTCCCCAAGCTTCCTGGCGCCTACCTCGTTGGCCCCACCGTCATCCCTGGCGTCTACAGTACCTACTATGCCACTGACCGCTCCACCAACGAGTACCCCCTGGACACCGAGACGGTCAAGTCGCGCGTCATCGCCGAGATCAAGAGGATCCAAGCCGTCAACCAGAAGGGCATGAACTTCACCATTACCGAGCCCAAGATTCTCATTGCCAAGTCCCACACTCCCTTCTACTGCCAGGCCACCGCCAGCGACATCAAAGCTGGCTTCTACAACAGCCTGTATGCCCTCCAGGGCCAGGAAAGCACTTTCTGGACTGGCGCTGCTTGGAGGGCCCATGACAGCAGTGCCATTTGGGACTTCAACAAGAATGTTGTCCTCCCCATGATTCTGAAGAGCCTTTAAATCAGGCGCTCGACAGGATTCTTTCTTTTCCTGGACTATTAATGACGGAGTCTTGGAAAGGGGGGGGGCAAATATCATGAGTTGCAAGGAATGAGAGAGGAGGCTATTTGTTTTCTTGTTTAAACCCCGTGTGACCCATCATCATCAATACAGATAATGTAATTTTTTTCATATCCGAAACTTCTTTTCGCTCTATTTTTTCCCTTCCATTTCGCAATCCGCGCCGCTTTTGAATCAACATGTAACGCAAGGCGAATAATCTTCGCATTTTGATTGATTTGTAGTCTGGATTTTCGACGTGTTGAGGGGGGGGGGAAGAAGCATCAGCCTGATACATCAAGACACTTTATGACTCAATGAGACTGAGACCGAGATATAGAGAGACATATACATTGCGATAAGTAGCTAGTGTCTAAGAAAAATTCACAGTGATAACCTCAATCTGTCTCTAAAAAAAACAGTGTTCATTGTATTCGCGACACTTATAGGAGGCGATGACGAGAGATTGCAGGGTGAGACAAACAGATTTGCTATCTACGCGCGGGGCTTGGCCACCGGTGTCCAAGCAGAATACTTATTCTTGGTGCTGTTTGTGCGATTAGCAAAAAAACCCTAAAATCATGTGGTGGCCCGAATCCTAAAAAACATACGTGCTGTAGGGCTTGTATCCCGATCGGCTCCATGTGAGGGTCGGCCTGTGTTCCTTTGGCTCCCAAACGCGGATCTGGCGCTGCAGAAGCTTGTCCTCTGCCGGGGACTTGTCGACCATGTACGATATCCAAGCGTGCCTGTCTCCAGTCAGATGTTCGCTCTGCTTGAAACGTATCTTATATTCCGAGCGTATATCGGGAAGAAGCATACCATCCTGGCTCGATCTGGGAGCTGTAAATTTGTCAGCTTGTGTCATATCCGCTGAGACATGCGGTAACCTACGGATCGTATTCCTTGTCCTTGTAGTCTACCCAGCGAGTTCGCACTGCGACAAAGTCAGACCCCTATTTCTGCCAGTCGTCACACGATCCAGCATCTTACGAGGAAGCTCCTCCTCCAGGTTCTCAAAGAACTTGTTGCCGTACTTGTCCGTGCCAATCAAGGTTCCGGCTTTGGTATCACCTGCACTATATCAGCCCCGTTGTCCCTTTCTCCACTCTACAGTCCATATTCAAGCGTACCAATGTTCTATACGGGCGGGGCGACTCGATCAGTCTATTTTCGAAGAGCAATTGAAGGCGCGGGGGGTGTTCACGAGCGTACCGCCATTTGGTGGGCATAGTCCTGCATAAGAGTTAGTGCTGCGGCGGCAACAATGTAGCGTGTAGGAGAAGCTTGCCTTGAATCCAATTCGGCGCAGGTTGCGCAGCGTTCTCATGAGCGTCGACATGGCGGCTGTTGCGAGCTGTTGATGGCTGTCGCTGATGGCGCTCGTCGGACGTCGCTGGGTCGCGGGTGATGATGCCAAGCCACCCATATCATGCTATACCGTTTTGGTGTTAGCACCAAGGATGTTCAAGTCGCCCAAACTGCATCCAACCTGGCAATGTCTTACTTAAGACTCCAGCATATCCCAGTCTCCGGCGGCGCGGTAGCGAGCGTTTCCAGAAAATGATAGTTCGAAGCTTGTTGCGAGCTCAAGCGCCCAGGATTGCGGGTCGAAGGGCTTTCTGTATTCCTTGCAGATCCCCGAAGACGACAAGGAGATATTCGACTTCGAGTCCAACAATGGGGTCCCAGGCGCCTCAGAGTCAGGCGGCGATGCTGGCGACGATCACATCGGATCTTGATAAGATTGCACCTAGATTCGAGATGCAACCGGAGCAAATTGAGATTATCCAGACGCCGTCCGAGTTTTATCAAACATTGAAAGTAGGTTGCCTGGCTTTTATTTACGACTCTGGTTTTCTTATTTGGTATGAGCCAATATTTGGATATTGTTATTATGTCAATCTCACAATTTCATTTTTCCTTCAGTCTCAGTTTGTTTCTTTACCTGAGCATTCGTCTTTCTCATGGATATCCCCACAATACACTTCAATATCTCACTTCTCTCCCTCTCCCTCTCCCAGCGATCTTGAGACAAACTCTCCAAGAACCATGTGAGGCAACACAAAAGCCGCATTACGCACGCCCCAGCCATAACTAACGCCGTCCAGGACAAAATCTCAAAAGCCAAACACACAATCTACCTCAGCACTCTGTACATTGGCAAAACAGAACACGACCTAATCAGCACCATTCGCGATGCCCTGAAACAAAACCCAAGTCTACACGTCTCTTTCCTCACAGATGCGTTGCGCGGAACGCGCGAAACACCCAACCCAACAACCGCCTCGCTGCTAACACCCCTGATTGCCGAATTCGGGCCACACAGAGTCGAAGTGCGCATGTACCACACGCCCAACCTAACGGGGCTACGGAAAAAATACATCCCCAAGCGTATCAATGAGGGCTGGGGCCTGCAGCACATGAAGCTGTACGGCATCGACGACGAAATCATCATGAGCGGCGCAAACCTCAGCGAAGACTACTTCACCAACCGGCAGGACCGATACCACTTATTCCGTTCCCGCGAACTAACAAGCTACTTTAAGAACATTCACGATGGAGTTGCAGCACTCAGCTTCGATATCCAGCCTAGCGACGCCGAGGGAGCAGGCGGATACAGCATGGCATGGCCAACCACAAACGCCGCACCAAGTCCCCTCGACGATCCAGCAAAGTACCGGAAAGCCGCTGCACAGCACCTCGCACACCTACTTAGACCTGAGAACACTCCCAAGCCCGCACCATCAACACAGCAATCATCACCATCATCATCAACAACAACAACAACAACAACAATATACCCCATCCTCTCTCTGGTCCCGCTCCTCCCCTCCTCAACCGAACTCCCCGCTCTAACCACGATCCTGACGGCGCTCGCCCACGCGCCCCTGCACCCCAGCACGTGGACCTTCACGGCAGGCTACTTCAACATGACGCCGTCGTTCCGGCGGCTGCTGCTCTCGACGCGCCCCGCCTCCGGCACCGTGCTGACGGCGCACCCGCACGCAAACGGCTTCTACGGCTCATCCGGCATCAGCGGCATGCTGCCCGCCGCATACACGCATCTGGCCAAGACGTTTCTGCGCAGGGTAAAGTACGAGGGTCTGCGCGACTGCATCACGCTCAAGGAATGGAAACATGGTATCGTAGGCGAGAAAGACGGCTGGACATATCATGCAAAGGGCATTTGGATCACGCTGCCTCGCACTACCACTACTGCTGCTGCTTCTGAGGCGCAGCAGCAGCAGCAGCAATCACACGACAACAACAATGAAGATGCGGAAAACAACCCCTGCATCACTATCATCGGGTCCTCCAACTACACAAAGCGCGCGTACGAACTCGATCTCGAAGCCAACGTCGTGGTGGCGACGACGGATCCGGGGTTGCGCCGCCGCCTGGGCGACGAGGTCAAGTGGCTGGGCGAGCACGCGAAGCCCGTGGATGAGACTGAGTTTGACAGGCCCGAAAGGAAGGTCGGCATGAATGTGAGGTTGGCTATGTGGGCGGTACGCGTCCTGGGCGGCGCCTTGTAAGTGTTGCGTGTTTTTTTTTGGTGCTATCGACAAGGGGATGAGAAAGAGAAAGAAAGGGGAGGGGGAGGGGGGAGTCTGTAGATCAAAGCTTTTATGCAAAAGGCGCAAGTGTGTAAGAATACATGTGTGTGTATTACTAGAGTTGGAAATCGCAATCATTATTACAGTCCCAGGAAAAGGGGGGAAGAAGAAAGTATTATTATACAAGAATCATTTCTTGCTTACTTGTCCAACAAGATTTGGGAATTATGTAGTGGGTATCTAGATATGAAGAAAAAAAAGGGGGGGGGTTTCAGAATGTACAACAGAACGTCCCGGGCATATTGAAATTCTCGTGTACGTTCCTCTTGTACACTCGTATCCATATCGTCTCATGGTATCCATCATCTGAGTAGAAGCAACTGCATCTTACTCAGAGCTAGCCCAGCAGTTGCGAGTTGCCTTCCACACTACCAGTCCTCGATCGCCAACAACACGGTTAAGAGTGTTCCAAACACCATCATCGGCAAAGTCCATATCGTCCAGGTTTAGGTGCTCTCGATAACTCCACACTTCTTCTAGGGAGACATCTTTTTGCTTGGTCGCGTTTTGGTATGGCTTCAGGAAGTAGGCTGATCGCGGGGCTACGAGGTATGTGGCGCCTCGATCTTCAATCTGTGGAGGCTTTCGAGTGCGACAAGGCGGGAGTGCTTCCTTGACTTTCTCGAGCATCTGCTCGCCGGGACAACCCATCAAATCCACGGTCTTGAGTTCCTCATTCTTTCCATTGAGCAGCCAGGTGGGTGGACTGTACGTCTTCCACCAGAAAGCATGAGTGACGGTTTCGTTGGACTTGGCAATGTTCACCTGCACCGGAACAATACCGCCCTGGTGGTAGACGCCCATCAACATTCCCAGGGCTATGTTGAAGATGACCCACAACGCTATCCAGGGCTTTTTGAAGGCCGGGCTCGGTAGGCGGACGGAGGAGAGTATCAAGGGTACAACGGGCAGCAAGAAACGGGCCTCTTGGTGTGGGAAGATGCTGAGTAGAGCGATACCAGACAGAGCCGAAATCAGCGTCATGGTGATATGAGAAGTGCGCAGGAAGAACAAGAGCGGGGTGGCGGGCCCAAGGAGTTGAGGAAGGTTGACAAGGAAGTGCTGGTACCGTGGGTGTATGCCATGCTGGGCCAGGTTCTCCGAGCGGGAATTGTAGAGAAAGTTGTTGAGGGGTGTGATGACAGGATTGTCAAAGACTTTGGAAACGGAGAATTCGCCTGGGGTATAAAAAGCAGTGTCGACGCAGACGGCGAGGAAGACTGTTGAAAGAGCAAAGGCGGCTAGGAAGATTAAAGAGAACGGTCTGTGGATGTCAGCAAAGCGCGCATGCTGGCAGGAAGGACGGACGGACTTGCGCTGGAAATGCGGTAGCAGCGTCAACGCAGGTAGAAGGACAAAGGCAGGGAATGTAATGCGATTGAAGATGCCGACTACGAGCATGAAGCCCAAAATGGACGAGGCCGCGATGCCAGAGCGCTTCTGCCACTCGGGTTAGCTGCATATGCTTGGGTGGGCATGCGGACCGCAGCAGGCATACCTTATCGTCGGTGATTCTCTGGATCAAGACCAGGCTCCAGAGCACCAGCAGCGTCTCGAGGCTGTTGGAAAAGGTGTGTGTCTGAAACGTCCATGTGACATACGACGACGCGACCAGCACCACGGCAACGCGTCGGGCGCGGGGGGATGCGACGAGCTCGTGGATGGCCCAGTCCTCCATGACGACGCTCAGCGACAGCATGAGGACGCGCAGTGTCCAGTAGACGACAGCGGGCGAGACGTCATATCCCGAGCCCTCCCACAGCCAGCGCAAGATGTACATGGGCCAGCCATATGCAAGCCATAGCGGGAAGGTGCTGCGGATGGGGTGGTCCGAGGTGAATTCCCACGTCTGGTGGACGGGGTAGGAGAAGACGCGTCCTGGCAGTCGTGGTCAGTTGGGGCGGGCGGGCGGTTTGAGGGGCAGGGCAGCATTACCAGCAACAACCTCTGGGCCCTGGAAGTTCTCGTCGGGATGCAGGTAGCTGGGCGACAGGGCAAAGTAGACGCGGACTAGAATGAGCAGGAAGTAGACTCTCCGCCACATGGTGCTAGCAATTGGGGTGGGCGCAGATGTCAGAAAGGGCCACGTCGCACAAGGGCATGTCGATGGTGGTAGTGGTGGAGAGTTTGGCTGCGCAAAAGTGAGGCCAACGCATGTTTTAGTGCAGGCCTATGTCAAACGAGCAGTGGACGCGGATAAGGGGGAGCCGATTGCAGCAACCGTGGCAGACAGCAAATGGAGGGCAAGTCGTGCACCTGGACAGGGCGCGCCAGGCATCGCGGCAGGCATAAAAAGGTGTAGACGGTGCATGACGACGGGGGTCAGGCGGTTTGATCAGATGTCAAGGCTGCGAGATGCCCAACGCCCGTGTGTTGCCAGGCTGCCGCTGCGGATCCGACTGCCGCCCGCCAGAGACGTCACGTGGCCGTCCGCCAAAGACGTCACGTGACCGCCCTCTGCAACCGCAGTGCGCTTGCTCTCGCTGTGGCGCCAGTCCAGCTCGAGGCTCGCGCTTCTGGCGACTTCCACCGGCCCCGTGCGGCCTCGCCCCTCCCACGGCCGTGATGCTTATGGGCGTACCAAGAGTCCGTTTTGGCTTCTCCCGCAGAGGCTCCATCCTGCAAGCACGCACAAACACGGCGCAAACCAGAGGCGCGGCGGGCAGCGATGCACAGAGCAAACGTGAGCGTGAAGGTGAAGGTGAATGCGCAGCCTGCTTCATCAGGCGGGTGCTGAGGGCTGAGGGCTGAGGGCTGAGGGCTCAGAGCAGTCTCGCAGCCTCTCGTCGCTCACTGCAGTGGCAGCCTTGCGCCTTGCCCCATGCGGCGGCGCTGGCCCGAGCTTCGCCTCTTGCCGTGGATACAGTGCGGAGCGGCTGTGGTTGCCTCTCTGACCTCCAACAGCGTGCAAACGGCGAACACACCCCTGCTGCTTTCTATATAACCACCTGCTGTCAGCGCCTCCGACAGCTTCCCTTGCACCCGCTCATCTGCTTCTCGCACCCCGAATCCACTATCCACTGACCGCCCGCCTGCGCGCAACGCCTCGTCCCAGCGCCAGCTTACCCCACTTCTACACCTCCTCTACACCGACCCCCAGCCCACTGCAATGGCTTCCACCAACGCCGAGGGCGTCAAGCTCATCAACATCACCACGTCGGATGGCGTCAACATGCAGGTCGAGCGCCCTGTGGCCGAGCGCTCCATCCTCATCAAGAACTTGCTCGAGGACCTCGGTGGTGAATCCGACGAGTCCATCCCCATCCCCAACGTACGCAGCATCCCCGCTCGCCCCAGCCCGCCAACCGCTGCTGACAAACGCGCAGGTCAACGAGGCCGTCATGAAGAAGGTGCTCGAGTGGTGCACCCACCACAAGAACGACCCGCCCGCCACGCAGGACGATGACTCGGACTCGCGTAAGAAGTCGACCGACATTGACGAGTGGGACCAGAAGTTCATGCAGGTCGACCAGGAGATGCTCTTTGAGATTATCCTCGCGGCCAACTACCTCGACATCAAGGCGCTCCTCGACGTGGGCTGCAAGACTGTGGCCAACATGATCAAGGGCAAGTCGCCCGACGAGATCCGCAAGACCTTCAACATCCAGAACGACTTCACGCCCGAGGAGGAGGAGCAAATCCGCCGCGAGAACGAGTGGGCCGAGGACCGCTAAGAACAAAGACTCTTTCCTGCATTCTCCTTATGTCTCGCATACGGTTTCGCCGGTAGTCACGGTGGGCTGGCTAGTGGGGGGTATGCGTGTGCATGGACGGCTTCTATCTCCGGCGTAGCGGAGTTTTCACGGTTATGGTGCTTGTTTTCGCGTATGCGCTTGGATGGTGCAAGTGCTGCCCTCTGGGAGCAACGGACCAGTGGCTGCTATTCGATTATGAAAAGGACACGGGTTTACAGTGTGGTGCATTCGACAGCCTTTTGTTGCTTGCGGCCCATTGTATGTAGCTCAATAAAAGGAACAAAATTTGCCATGCTTTCTGATTGCTTTTGGCATGTGACGAGCGTGTCAAACGGGGGCACTGAAACAAGAGGCAAGATGCAACATGTCGAGTCTTTGTCGTGATGAGCTGAGTTGAGCCTTGATCTCTCTAACCCTTTTCTCCTTTTCTCCTTTTCCAGAAACGCCAGACAAGCATAGTTGGACATGTATGCACCCATTTCCACCATTGTAATCTACGTTTTTTTTTTTAAAAAAAAAACTTTCCCTTGTTTCTTTACCATCCCCTCTTCGCAAGCTTCTCCTGCTCACCCATGGTACTACAGTTGATTCCCACCATGGCCTCGCCGAGATCCATGCTCACCTCCATGAGCACCTTGGGGTCGTTGTAATGCGTGACGGCCTGGACAATTGCCTTTGCCCTCTTCGCCGCATCGCCCGACTTGAAGATGCCCGAGCCGACAAACACGCCGTCACAGCCCAACTGCATCATAAGCGCCGCATCAGCCGGCGTCGCCACACCGCCCGCAGCAAAGTTAACGACAGGCAGTCTCCCCAGCTTGGCCGTCTCCTTGAGCAGCGCATAGTCGACCTGCAGCTCCTTGGCATAGACGCGCAGCTCCTCGTCCGTCATGCCCTTTGCGCGCGCAATCTCGGCGTTCACCGTGCGCATGTGGCGCACCGCTTCGATGACGTCGCCCGTGCCCGCCTCGCCTTTTGTACGGATCATGGCCGCGCCCTCGGCTATGCGCCGCAACGCCTCGCCCAGCCCGCGGCACCCGCACACAAACGGGATGCGGAACGGATGCTTGGATACGTGGTGGATTGCGTCGGCCGGCGTGAGCACTTCAGACTCGTCGATGTAGTCTACGCCGAGGGCCTCGAGGATCTGCCATGGCTCAGCATGTGCGGGGGTAGCATTGGTTGGAGAAGAAGAAGAAGTGAGAGGGCGGAGCATGTATATACCTGGCATTCGACGAAATGGCCGATTCTCGCTTTGGCCATGACGGGAATCGTCACCGTGTCCATGATCTCCTTGATCATCTTGGGGTCGCTCATGCGCGCCACGCCGCCCTGCGCCCGTATATCAGCGGGTACGCGCTCGAGGGCCATGACGGCTGATGCGCCTGCTTCTTCTGCTATCCGTGCCTAGATACACATGTCGTGGTTAGCTACGAGACCAATTGTTGTTACTGCTATTCTGCTAGACGCCACTGCAGTGGGCAATTGCTGCATGCTGGGAGGGGGAGGGGCTGCGAACATACTTGCTCAGCATTGACAACATCCATGATGACTCCGCCCTTGAGCATGCGAGCCAAACCCGCCTTGACGGCAAAGTTGTTCTCGCCGTCCTGGGCGGTGCCATTGCCGTTGGTCGTGGGGAGTTCAGTTGCCATGTTTGACCTTGTCGTGATTTGCTGAAGGTGAAAGGAACAAGCCACAGGCAGACCAAATAAGTTACTTGAAAAGTGTCAGACCAAAGTGCTGGCAATGGACAAAGTCAGGAAGAAGTAAAGAAGTAAAGAAGAAGATGAAGAAGATGAAGCTTGAGAGAGAGAGAAGAAAAAAAGGGCCTGAAGAAGAGTAAGAGAGTAAGAAGAGGCAATTGTAAACTAGTCCAGTCTACTAGTCACGTCTTAGCACCCGCGATCCCACGCCACTGGATTAGATTGAT